GAAATTTTTCTTGTGCGCAGATCCTCCACAAGGATGCCGACATGTCTTCCCGGCCATCTGGCAGTAATCCACCCCCATAGTATCTGTACCACGAGGTCAGCCCGCGCGGTATGAGACTCTACCCAACTTGGTTTAGCACAACCCCATGCCGAAAATGGGGTCCAAACCCCAGGTTGACCACACGTGGTAGGTCGAAATTTCCGGCCCTGGTCAGTGCCCACCAATGGAGAGCATGGACACCCCAAACCTACAAACAATACCAGCCAGGAACGGTCATACGGCCGGACATCCCACTCAATCGATGGGAGCGCCCGGACCTTTTCACCAGCGGTTCAAACCCGACTGACTGTCCGGTACGGGGGACCCGAAGCTCTGTTTGGCCAGATCTAGTCAGAGTTCTCAGTCAGCATCACACTATCCGAATGGACGCTTCCAAATAAAGAGACATAGCCGATGGTTTTAAACTCAGACAATCACGGTTTAGTGGTATGTGCACACATGGCCCGACGTCCGCTCCATGGATCTGGCCCCAGGTAGTAGTAATTCGATGTCTGTCTGACACTCTGGAGTCGGACAACGTACATTCTCTTCCGTAGGTCGCAGTAAAATCCCACTAATCCGTCCTTCCAATGTCACCTCAAAGTTTTCGTTGACCGTCCTGATTGGTGCCCATGGTAATCATTTATTCATGGATCTAATATTAGCCAACCCTCTTTGGGCATGGTGGTAAATATTGGTCTTCTTTCAATTTTTGCCCTCAGTCGAAAACTGGTTAGCTTTGACAAGGGAGCTTTCCATGGATATCGTGCCATCAGGCCGGAAAAGGAAAATGGAAAAAAAGAAAAAAAAAAAGAAAAAAGAAAAAGGCAAAAAGCAATTTTATTTTTCTTCTCTGGGGCCGAGTGAGGCACAGGTTTCCCCGTGGGTGAATCCCCGGCCCCGGCATTGAGCCGATAAATAAATCAATGTATTCAGGGACCTGTAACATTGACAACATTATAAAAGCACTGACTTCCCCTCCCCTGCTCCGTTATTGCTTCAGTTTCCTGTTCACCGCAATCCCTCTCCTGTGTGGTTCAGTTCGTGCCTCTTTCACTTTCTGGCTCTGACCTGTCACATATTCCAATACACTACCTCACCTCATTCTTTATCTTCCTTCTGCTCCCTTCTCACACTTGAATCTCCCCCGTGTGAGGCACAATCACCATGGGTGACGCTGTAGCTCCCAATGCGCTCGCCAACACAATGCGTGTCGAGGCACCTGTCACCGTCAAGACGTACTTGATGTGTGCCTTTGCTGCCTTCGGTGGTATCTTCTTTGGTTATGATTCTGGTTACATTAACGGCGTCATGGGAATGAGCTATTTCATTCAAGAATTCGAAAACCTGGTCAGTCTCTGGTCTCCCATACTAATTCTCAGTCATAGTAGCTAATACATGTGCTGTTGTAGGACCCTGCTACTACTCCCAAGGACAAATTCGTCGTGTCATCCTCTAGAAAATCTTTGATCACATCCATCTTGTCGGCCGGCACATTCTTCGGTGCTCTGATTGCCGGTGATCTTGCTGACTGGTTTGGACGTCGGGTCACCATTATCTGTGGTTGTGTCATCTTCATCATTGGTGTCGCTCTTCAGACTGCTTCCACTACTGTGGCTCTACTGGTAGTGGGCCGTTTGATTGCGGGTTTCGGTGTCGGTTTCGTGTCGGCCATCATCATTCTGTACATGTCGGAAATTGCGCCTCGTAAGGTCCGTGGTGCGATCGTTTCTGGATACCAGTTCTGCATCACCATTGGTCTGATGCTGGCCTCCTGTGTCGACTATGCTACCCAGAACCGCACCGATTCCGGCTCTTATCGTATTCCGATTGCCATCCAGATTGGCTGGGCTCTCATCCTCGGTGGTGGTTTGTTCTTCCTGCCGGAGTCTCCTCGTTATTTTGTCCGTAAGGGCCAGCTCGACAAGGCTTCCCACGTTCTTGCTCGCGTGCGCGGTCAATCCGAGGACTCTGAGTATATCAAGCAGGAGCTGGCCGAGATTGTCGCCAACAATGAGTACGAGATGCAGGCTATTCCACAGGGTGGCTACTTCACCAGCTGGTTCAACTGTTTCCGCGGCAGCATCTGGCACCCTAACAGCAACCTCCGTCGTACCGTCTTGGGTACCTCTCTTCAGATGATGCAACAGTAAGTCTAGGATTGCCTTGCCACTCATACCCACAACGGTACATATCTAACCATCTTTTTTCTAGGTGGACTGGTGTCAACTTCGTGTTCTACTTCGGTACCACATTCTTCACCTCGGTAAGTGTCACTGATTCAAGACATCAAAGCTTCGTTGTTCGCTAACTCGTACACAGCTCGGAACAATCTCCGACCCCTTCCTGATCAGCATGATCACTACCATTGTCAACGTTTGCTCAACGCCAATCTCGTTCTGGACCATGGAGAAGATTGGACGTCGTCCCTTGCTCTTGTGGGGCGCTCTTGGCATGGTTATCTGCCAGTTCATTGTCGCCATCACCGGCACCGTCGACGGCGGCAACAAGTCTGCTGTTAGCGCTGAAATCTCTTTCATCTGCATTTACATCTTCTTCTTCGCTAGCACCTGGGGTCCTGGAGCATGGGTTGTCATCGGCGAGATCTTCCCTCTTCCCATTCGTTCCCGTGGTGTGGCTCTGTCGACTGCCTCTAACTGGCTTTGGAACTGCGTAAGTGGCTGTCACTCAACCCGTAGTATTCAATTCTGGTTGTACTAACGATTGGTTGTAAATAGATCATCGCTGTCATTACTCCTTACATGGTAGACGCAGATAAGGGCAATCTCAAGGCCAAGGTGTTCTTCATCTGGGGCTCTCTCTGCGCATGCGCCTTCATTTACACCTACTTCCTCATCCCCGAGACCAAGGGACTCACTTTGGAACAGGTGGACAAGATGATGGAGGAGAGCACCCCACGTACCTCTGCCAAGTGGAAGCCACACACCACCTTCGCGGCCGACATGGGACTCACCGAGAAGGACATTACCGAGAAGGTTCAGGTCGTCCAGCACGAAGTCTAACTCGACCCATCTGTGGCGGACGGTGTTGTAAATGTTTCAGGAGGGGCGCTGCGTTTTACTTTTACTAATAGTTCATTTATTTATCTATCAACGATCATGCATGAACTCATACCCATGATTTTACGCGTCATGTCGTTTTAATGCCATTGCAGAACGGTGAAGATATTGCTGAGATGTACCACTAGTTGATACTTACGTGACACTTTTTCCTTCATTGTAGTTGTAGAAAGCGCCAAGATGCCTTTAGCTTTATAGACCGGTTGGTTCCATCTTCTTCGGCGAAGATAAGTAGCACCCATCTGCCGAATTCACCGTGCCAAGGTCAGAAGTGAGTTGACTTCGACCGGCTCATGCTTCGGCAAAATTTTGATGGGTCATGCATTCCTTTCGGGGGTGCAATCACGTTCGCCTCGGGTTTTCCGACGCTGGGCGCACTTGGCATCATGTACAGTAAGTTGATTCACCCATCTTACATGGTATGGTACTGAGGAGGCGTCCCGGGAGGGGGGAGGGTGGGGGCGAGAGCCCATTCTTCTTTAGTAATGAACATATCAATAAACGCCATACGGCCCGTTTCCTAGCGGCCCTATGTTGAGCCTGCAGACCTTTGTGCATACTTATCTAAGAACCCATGGTCTCTCTGTTCTAGATAGCTATTTCAAACAATGTATTATTATTGATCAACTTTTACATCCATATAGAGCCTTTGGCTATGACAGACACATGGTCCTCGGCAGTGGCCGTTGGCCTCTGCCTCCAGGCGGTCCCTAGGGGCCCTATTGGCCCCTTCTACCTTCTGTATGATCATTCTAGTCTTTTCCTCGCCCGAACCGCCTGCCTGCGCCAGGGCCTTTGGGCTAAGCCCTCCTCGGTGTTCGATACCTGCTGGGCGTTGCCCAGGCATGCCTAGTGCTGCCTCGGGCAATGTAAATGCTCTTCTGGTATTTTCATATCTGAATTCTCAACCCTAGGCCTCCTAACGTTAACAGGTTTGACCGATGAGTGTTGACGTATTTGAGCCACCTGACCTTCCACAGATAATCGTCTCGTTATTTCTATTTAGATAACCTCATTGTTTCTATTTTGGGCAACTTCCATTTCCGGCCAGCGGGCAGTCATGAGAAGACCGGTCAAAGAACTGCAATTTGTCACAGGCTACGCCTGCATAGCACTCGGTTTCACCTTCGCAGTACTTGATGGCCACGTGACCTGGAGGCGGATGCCGTCGCGTAGATTTATCTTCCCTCCCCCCCCCCAACGATTCCTTATTGGATGTATCTAGCAATTAGATAGCAGGGTCTAGCCCTCTACACAATTCCCTTTGTAAGGGCTTTTATGTAGGGAGATTTTCTTTTTTTTTTATAGATAGTTCTTTATGCAGCTTCAATCAAAATATTCTGGTTTCCGAAAGGCCTGCTTCCCTATTCTATTACTCAACAATGGGTGGGCGGGTGGGGTTGACGCTCTGTGCTCATTTGTCCTACCTTGCATGTATGTATTTGGGTCCCCCATATTCTACCTGGTTAGTTCGGAGTTCAAGAAGATCAGACATTTTCAGTCGGTAATATAGGTCTCTCTACCAGTTATTTCTGTCGGTGTTCCAGTCCTGGGTTTCGTGCGAGAGATAAACCAACGAGTTGTAGTGGTGTTTCCGTACTAGCCATGAAGGTTATATATAAAGCGAGTATGACTACTAGTACATCAAGCGCTGATCATACAACAGTCGTGCAATTATATTTCTGCTAGCAATACTAGTCTCTATACTAAGGTAGTAGATATATTTGAATCGATAATAGATATCAGAAAATATTATGCTTCTATAGGGAGTGTAGGTGGTTACAAGACACCATAGAATACGGGTATAAGGAGGTAATTATGGAAAACCTCAATAATCTGGTTTGTAATAGAGCAAGATATCTGAGTCCTACAATTGAGTATACTCCCGTAGCTCAGTTGGTCTTAGAGCATCAAGCTTATATGGTCACGGTATTTCATACTAGACTGTATGCCTCTTGGCGGTCGTGAGTTCGATCCTCACCGGGAGTACTACTTCCTTTTTCATCTTTTTTTTTCCCTCCTTTACTTCCTTTCCTTCCTTTCCTTGAACCTTGCATATAGTATGCCCCGACACTAGGCATTAAACAATAGATTTTTGAGTTTTGTAAACCCGTAGCCTCTGTTCGATATACAAACCCTTCTGCCGTTAATATTTGTTGACTTGATTGTTTTTGCAAGTACGTATTGCTCTAATTACCCTAATGATATCCACACCTTAGTTTGTGATCTAGGCACTAGTACTAAAGGGGTTTATTTCCCGCTTACTAACCAAGATTATACACCTCCAGAAGCGATGTTCCAGCAGTAACTAAGCTCGTTAATTGATTCATCTATATGAGAGGGGAAGGTAGAGTCCACGAATCACTAACTCGCCAAGATATCAAGAACATGGCTTGTATCAAATCGACTAGTGGATAGTGTGCAACAATCTCAAGTGATCGAGAGTCGAGACTTGAACCAACACTCGATCGTTGACTTTACATTCTTTCCCGTCGAATTGAATTCCCTATGTGGTGCTACTTTGAAATTGATGCTAATTTTAACCAACAAGGGTGCAAAGGACAATACAGAGCATATATCCTTAAGTCTCGATATCACTAGGTAACGATGTTTCTGTTGGGGGATCGACATACGCGTCGGTAGTACAAGGGCACCAATTACCGTTTCCGCTCGGATGAACTCCGCTGTGCCAAGATATCTACTGCGTGGCTGATGCAAAAGATGCACAGACTTCCTCTGCGCACGAAATTGAACGTACTCAAGATATTATGGGTAGGAGGAATCAAGCAGTGATGGACATGCTTTAATATCCATGACTGAGGAACCTCCGCCAATTAGAGCAGGGGTATTAATCACTCCCACTGTGCCAAGCCACCGGATCCACGGGGGTATAGCCTTTACTGATGCATAGAGTACCAGGCTTACGCCACGGCGGAGTGCTCTGATGCCTTCTAGCTACAGAACCCCACTAGTCACATTCGTTGCCGAACTGGCTGCCGTCTAGTCTCATTTCTATCGTTTTTAAACAGCGGTTAGGGCATTGCCTCGTCAGCGGACGTTGATCATGCCCCATTCTTGACTGGGCTGAAGATGCCCTAAAACAAGCTATGTCGATTCCATGGTAGTCTATTGCATTCAACCGGCGCGCCAGCGCGGTTTTTTTTGGGATATGCCCCAGTAGAGCCTAATATCTTCCCTGCTAGGCTTGGGGTTGCTGAACAATGCCAACCGCCCTATTCGACGGCCTAGACAGGGCCCCTATGTGAATTGCGTCAGCTAAAATTGTGCCCCAACTTGTGCTTCAAATGTGGTTGACCTGGGTCAAGGGGGAGGACCAAAGTATAAAGCCAGCATCGTCCTCGAGAGAATCTTGAGGATCATCAAGACATTTACTTTTACTCATCTCTATCGATAACTGTGTATTATTATCATTACTTTACCATGGTTCAACTCGCTTCCACTCTCGTCGCTGGCCTGGCAGGCCTCGCCAGCATGGTCTCTGCCCATCCGGGCCATGATATTAAGGCCGAGGTCGCTGAACGTGCCGCTTTCCTGAAGAACGCTCCTCTGCGCGCTCGCAGCCTGGACCAGTGTGCCACCAAGCTGCGTGCCCGTGGACAGGAGAAGCGGAACATCGCCCGTCGTGAGCAGGCAGTCAAGAACCTGCGCCGTGTCAAGGGCCTCCAATCCCGTACGGCCTGCCTTTCCCATTTGAAAACAATACATCAATCAGTTTGCATTCCTAACTTCATTCTCACAGGCGCCCCCTTCCTCAAGGCTAGAGACCTTGACACCGTCCTCAACACCACCCACCACTCCTCTTTGGACGTCAACCTGTCCACTGACCCTGAGGTTCTCTTCGCTTCTAATGCTACCTGCATCCTCGGACCTGATGTCACCCAGGGACCTTACTGTACGTTGTTTCAAAGGTCCCCAATTGAACTCTATAATCTAACACACCCTAGACGTTTCGGGCGAGCTGATCCGCTCCAACATCGCTGAGGAGCAGGAGGGTGTCCCTCTCTGGCTGGACATCCAGCTGATCGACACCAACACCTGTGAGCCTGTTCCTCAGGTGTACCTGGACTTCTGGCACTGCAACGCCACCGTAAGTACCCCAGTCAAAACCACTACAACGAAAACAAAAGAACATCAGTTTCTGACCATATAAACAGGGTGTCTACTCCGGCATCGTCGCCAGCGGAAACGGGAACTCCAACGACGACACCAACATCGACACTACCTTCCTCCGTGGTCTCCAGAAGACCAACGACGACGGTATCGTCCAGTTCCAGACTATCTTCCCCGGTCACTACACCAGCCGTGCCACCCACATCCACGGTAAGCACTTTAATCATCTCTGCGAACAAAATAGCACCAAAAAGTTAAAGGGATACTAACGATAAACAAAATAGTCCTCACTCACCCTGCCAACGAAACCTCCGTCCTGCCCAACGGAACCATCACCGGCCTCTACAACACCAAGACCTCGCACGTCGGCCAGCTCTTCTTCGACCAGGACCTGATCTCCGTCGTCGAAGAGACCTCCCCTTACTCCACCAACACCCAGGAACTGACCACCAACGCCGAGGACCAGATTCTCGCCGAGGAAGCGGACACCATCGACCCCTTCGCCGAGTACGTCTTCCTGGGCGATGATGTCTCCGACGGTATCTTCAGCTGGATCTCCATTGGTATCGATGCCACTGAGAGCACATCCGTTACACCTGCTGCGTACTTCACCGGGGATGGCGGTGTCGAGAATGAGAGCTCTGGTGGTATGGGTGGTGGTGGTGGTTCTCCTCCTAGCGGATCTGGTGCTCCCAGTGGATCTGCACCTACTGGTGCTGCGCCCTCTGGTAGCTCTGCTTAGGTGAGTAGTGGGGATTTTTTTGTAGATAGTTGAGCTGGTCGGGTCGTTTGACTCGGTTTTGGTTGTGCTTTTTCTCTTCTACTTCAACTTTATTGTAACTTATTTGATCCGTCTTGGATTGGACTATTCAGCCACTAGATTTGTGTTGATAGCACAGGTTTATTTAAACCACATTTGGCATGTCGTTTCTTCAGATTGTCTAGTTTGACATGCTTCGGACGTTTCATATATTCACGCCAACATTAGCCACACAGAGTAACTACTATTCCGTAACACTCCCAATCCGCAATAGATACACAGACGCTACACAATCCAGATACTAGGCAAGACTAAAACGCTAAAGTTCGTTTATTATCACATTTAATTATCGGGGAGCAAGTCATCTAGTTACTCCTAACCCTTACCTCAAACACCAAAAGGGCTCATATAATATGACAGATCAGCCTTATATTTCAATAATACGGCCAAAAAAAAAGTAACACCAGGCTGACGCATCGAAAATTCACCAATAAAAAAGAGAAAAGAAATAAAACAGCACATTCTTCCAGCCGAAAGGTCTGGTTGTCTACAGTGGCCATCCTTTTCGGTACAAGCCATAAAACCAACCCAGCTAAGGCCAAGGGGTCAATTTAACCCATGAATCGAACTGTTGGTCAATTACACTCACCCAGGAATAAGAGCTTTGAACTTCGGGTTTGTCTTGGTCCTTTTCTTCAAGAATATTTGTCCCAATCCCAAACGGCGAGCAATATTAGTCCCCAGCCTCCACTCGATAAGCAGCATATTAAAGGCTGCCACACGATCAGCCTTAAACCCCAGAACGGGGATACACTCTGCCATCCGCGCCATAGTAAAGCAGGCCACCATAATGTTCACCTCTAGAACCATCTGGGTCTTGCAATTCAGTACTATCTGAATCGTCATCTTCCAGAACTATTTGAAATATCATATCATTCGCAAATCTAAAGACATCCTTTCAATTTCAGGCAATCGGTCGTTTGCAGCCAACTCAGCGTTCATGGAAACAGCGGTCAACGATGGGGGGGGGGGGGAGGGAGGTCTCTTTCTATGAGTTTTAATATAGGCTGCCTAAGTTTACGTTTATAGGACATTGACACAGGAGATCTACTATGTCTAGTCCGGTTCATGCTGCATTAGACGTTTGTTTTTGTATGGACAATCATGTAGTGAGCAGAATAGTGCCTAATTCATGACACTATGTATTATTTTCTTCCCGAATATTATATTATACGTCCTACGTGCTACATATTCCTAATGATAAACTATAATACTAACCCGCAGCGTAAGGGCTCATCTTCCTCAGCCTCTCTCCATACTTCCACAGAAATATCGGTGCCGGAACCCCAATCAAGATTGATAAAAATGCCAGTAAACTATTTCCCCACCCATAATGCAAAGTCTGGTACATGTAGGGCGCAAAAAGCGGGAACCCGAATCCAGCGATTGAACGTAAAAAAGAACCAGCAGCCAGGGCACTAGCCGCAAATCGAGTATAGGCGTCTACAAAGTAGGTCTGGATACACTGCATGGCGACTATATTGCCCATGGCCAGGAGGAGGGCACCGATGTTAGGGGCGATCCAGTGACAGTGGGTTTGCGCGGTCCAGCCGTAAATGAAGAGACCGACTGGGTTGAGGATGGCGGCGATAGATAGCAGGGGGGTACGAAATTCAGGCTTCCCCGTACCATTGTGACGAGACTTGAGACGGCGGTAGATGTGGTCATTGAGACGTGCGCAGATTTGGGAGCCCAGAAAATAGCCTAGTCCGAGGGAAATATAGTTCAGGCCGCCGATACCTGTAGATTCGTTGTAGTACTCCGGGCTGGTCCATAGAGCAGGGAATGTCGAGGACATCAAGTATAAGACGCCGTACACGTAGGCCATGTAGATGGCAAGGGCCTGAACAATGGGCTGTGTGGCGAGGAGGCGGAAAGGCCGAATGAGGGCTGTGCGCAGGACTTCAGGCAAAGTCTTGTTCTGTCGTTCAGCTTCAGTTTGGTAGGAGGCGTCCCCTGTTTCTTTGCGGATCTTTTCAGCCCGTGTCCGGAGGACCTTGGGAGCGTATGTCTCGCGCAAATAAAGTAGGCCGACGAG